GAAAAAATAAATGTGATGATAGTAACAGCTGATTGAGCCACTGTGATCAGCACCAAAGCAACAAGTGCAGCCTCAGGCATTGTGCACCTACCCTGGGTGCCTAGCCCCTCTTCACTGTTTTGTGGTTTTCTGGAGTCCACACAATCCCCCTTTTTCTTCAAGTTCTAGCCCCTTCTTCCCTAAGCAGGGACTGGGCCTACCTCTGTGGGAGGGAGAGATAGAGCCAGCACCGAATTACAGAGCTACCTATTACTGAGTGTTAATCTTCAAGCACAGGGAGAAGTCCTGCTCAGGGCAGATCATGCCCATCTCTGAAACAGCTGAGGGCTCCACCTCTCTTACAGGTTAGCACAGGGACAGGCAAAAAGGCAGATCTAGCCAACAGCCATACTCCATTTCCCAACAGCCTCTGCAGCGGGATCTTGCGGCAGGGCCAGCTTTGTCAGGGCCAGGGCAGAGCCGCAATCTGCAGCCTGCATGCTCCAGGCAAGGGCATGCAGGCAGAGGATTGCAGCTCTTCCCTGGCTTGGGACCATGGTGTTACTGCTGCAAGAAGCTTGGGCAGAGCTGCAATCTGTAGCCTGTGCGCCCCTGCCCGGAGCATGCAAGCTGCAGATTGTGGCTTTGCCCTGGTCTCCAATCAAGCTGCCCCCGCCGCAAGATGCCAGCAGCTCCGGAGCAGCCCCCTGCCCTCCCCTGCCACACTCCCTGCCAGCGTGGCTACGGCCGGTCTCCATGGCAACCCCAGCCTTGCACTATCACAACATAGCTGCAGCTGGGGTCTCCATGGAGATCAGCCCCAGCCATGCGGGCAGGGGCTGCTGGCAAATGGAGTCCACTGCTGGCCAGATCTGGCCCGCAAGCTGGACTTTGCCCGCACCAGGTTAGCAGCTCTTGTGCTGTTTGCCAGGCCAATAAAATACTGCTGAAATGAATAACCAGAGTGTAGGCAACACTAATCTACTGCACAAGATAAAGTCCCTTCTTACCCAGAGCTTTGCAGCTGCGTTTGTCAGGACGAAGCTCATAACCTTGCTCGCACCAGCACTGGAAGCCGCCTTCACTGTTGGTACAACCCTGGCTGCAGTAACCTTCCTCTGCACATTCATTCACATCTGTAACAGGGCAAGGGGGCAAAGTTACCATGTGATTACAAAGATGCCAATATTCCCATGGTGTGCCCAAATCTCACTCCTGGTTTGTCTCCAAGTCTGCACTCTGCCTTTCACTTGCAGCTCCAAGATCATTACTGTAGCAGTGGAAGGAAGGGGGTACCCTGACAACAGGAAAAACACCCAGCAGTGGTGAGGAGGGATGAAGGGCTGTTACCCTGGCTGCTTACCTTGACATGAACGGCCATCTTCCAGAAGCCTATAACCTGTGTGGCAGGTGCACTGGACCATCCCTCGCACCATCTGGCACTTCTGAGTACAGCCACCATTGCTGAGGTTGCAGTTCTCCTCGCCTGTCCGTGGACCTGTGACAACACGTGAAGAGGACAGAGATGGAACACAAAGCAGCAGTTACTGTGATGCGCAGTTGTAAAGATAACAGCACACCTCTATGGAAGATGGGGACAGTGAGGGTAGGAAAGAGACCCTGCAGGAGGCTGCATCCCCTTGACAACAGGAACACATCTAAACTGACTCTACACAAGGTATAACAACTCCTAAAGTCTGTGCCCTGGGGTTTGGAAAGCTTCCTTTGAGATTCAGTGTCTTTGTAGATACACTCAGGTGTCTGTGAACACAAGATTACTCCCCAGTATTCCCTCCTACTTGCAGGACCATTACTGAAGCATCTTTCCCCAAACTCCAGGACATAGCTCCTATTAATAGTCTGTTTCAGTAGGAACATGGCTCCCACTAACGTCTGTGTAGTTAACCTCTACTTGACTTCAGCCCATCCCTGTGGCTCTGTGAGCTGAGACCAGGAAGACTTACGGCAGTTTTGTTGGGGGCTCTCATCGCTGCCATCTCCACAGTCATTCACACCATTGCACAGCTTCCTGTGGCCAATGCAGCGCCCATTCCCACAGAGAAACTGGTCTGGGGCACATTGGGGACTTCCTGCAGGGGCAGAAGGGAATAATAACATATCCAGAGCAGCAGCAGCCCAGCAGAGTACTTGGCAGACAGGAGAACAAATCCTGGGCAAAGAGAAGAAGATGCACAGCAGGAAGCTTACTGGCTACACTTGACCTTATTGCATTTCCCTCAGGTTCACCACTATCCTCTCCCTGGATTATATGATACACTTCTAACTTTGTGCTCCCTTGGATTCTAGGAAGGCAGTTTATGCTCAGCTTATACTTTCTTCTATACTCCCCTCTTCCCTTGTGTTGATTCAGAGAATCTCAGATCTCCTTCTGGACTGGGTCTAATGTTACTTTATGAGGAAGTATTTTGTTTCTTTCAGACCAAGTAGAGAATTCTGGCATAAGTTCTATTGACTGCAGATTCCACAAACTTCCTGGGCCCCTTTTCAGCACAAGTTTGAGTGGATCTAGGCTGTCCACCCCTCCTCTGCCTTTATTTATTTATTTGACACGTCACCCTACTGCAAATCATGAATATTAGGTTTGTTCATGACCCAATGTGTGTCCCTTTTCTAACTGCACTGTGGTAAGTTTGGAATGGGATTTATATGCAGCCTTCAAGGCTAAACTTTGGAAGGAGGATTTCACACGTGGGCTGCAATCTTCAGAAGGGATGGCACAGACCGTGCAAAATTTTATCTAAGATCATTTTGTTTATTTCTCACAACTCATGATTTCTATGTTAAGGCATTACACCTGTTAAAATCCATGAACTGCAACAGGGATGTATAGGGATCACTGAAAGATTAATTACACTGCAAAACCTTTATAATAAACTGAGTGGAAGACAAAAGAAGGTCAATAAGACTACTGTGATAAACATAAATAGAAGAACTATATGGATACAGAACTTGGATTCTTCCTTCTTTTACAAGATTCACTTTAAAAGAGCAATCTGAAGTGCTATAACATTTTCTGTATAACTGACAGAGAGATACCTTTTATCATTTTTGCAGACTAACACAATATTTTAGATTTGTGATCTCAGCTATCCAAATCTATGTCTAGAACCAAAGGGAGTTTATACATGTGCTCTGGGCAGGGGACTTTAATCCGAGAACCACTCTAATTAAAACCCCCACAGTGTCTTATGTATCAGCATCCCTGCGCTTAAAAATGGTGGTGGGGGCACTTTAACTAAAGCTCACTGAATAAGCTTTAGTTAAAGCACCCCCATTGCCATTTTTAAGTGTGGGAATGCTGATACATGAGACACTGGAGTCTGCTGGAGTAATTACCATGCTCCAGCAGACTTGGTTAATTAAGTCTACTTGTGAATAGGCACCCAAAAAGGCTAAGACACAAATTGATCAGCTTTGTCCCACTGGCAACTACCACACAGATGGTTCTTGTAGCCTGTTTTCTTTCATACCTACCAATATTATACTTCTCTACTTTACTGTGAATGCTTAAGCTTCAACTCGTCTCTATGCCACTGGACATCATGTACTGCTTCTCACCAGACAAGCTTTCAGATGTTTACTGGGAGTGGTTCCTCTTGGTTAACTTTTACTAGCTGACCTTTACCATATCTATCTACTGTAGTTCTTGACAGTTTTCTGAAGATCCTCCAGAGCACATGCTGGTGTACGTATCATGTTGGGTGTACCCATTTATCCTGGTCATGACTTTTTATTTCAAGGGTGCTGTAGGTTTGATTTGGTTTCTTGGCTAGAACTTTTCAAGTTTGTTCTTGATACCTTGGTTATCCAGGTGACAACCACAGGGCTATCAGACTTCTTTTAGCTGTGTGATTACTTTTTCAGGATCAACACCTGTTTTAGATGCATTATTCAGAAAGTGATGGGGCTAAGAAGATCAGCACGAACACCTGGTCTTCATTTACCCACTAGGGGGTGACCACTAACCAGTGCAACAGGTTCAGTCTCCATATCATAACCTGGCCTACAGACACACTGACTATCAACAGAGTCAAGGAAAAATGAGAGCTCCATATTGCTAGACCATTGGGAAAGCCTCCAGCTCTGCAACAGCTATCACCACCACCTCCACCTGCTCCATATCCATCCATATAAAAGTATGGTAATAAATGGGTAATAAATAACCAATATTAGCAATGAAAGAGACTCCTGGGCAAATATTTAAGAGTACATGGCATCAAGCCCTCTGAAAGATACACTAGTCACTGCTTCATGTAACAGACCCAATGATTCCCCAGGTAGGCATCGAGCCGCTTCTTAAAGACCCCCAGGATAGAAGTGGTGCTGGCTCCTACCCTGGGGGTCTTTAAGAAATGGCTCGATGCCTACCTGGCTGGGGTCACTTAAGCCCAGTTTTCCTCCTGCCCAGGCAGGGGGTCGGACTTGAAGATCTACAAGGTCCCTTCCGACCCTACTTCTATGATTCTATGATTCTGCTGGAATCTACCTGCAAAAAAGGTGATAGAAGGGCCCCAAGGACCAGACCCTTATTGATCTCGACTCAGTCCCTCAGATAAAGCAATATTTCCACACATTCCTAATATCTCAGACAGACAGATCCACAGCAGCTTATAATAAGAGGATAATTTGGAAAAGAGAAGGGGTATAATATTTAGTCAGGAAGATCACTAGTGGCTGTGAAGTTCAAGATGGAGCATAAAGCCAGCTTCCTAAAGCTGAAGTCATAAAGTAGTTGCCTTCCAAGCTCAGCCAGCAAACCAGAGCAAGAAAACAAGTGTTTATCTTCTGTAGCAGGATGAGGAAAATTGCCTGTATTTTCCCTGGCACAGGGATTCACAGAATCTGTGGCTGAGATCAAGGAGGACACCCAGAAGAGAAGTACATGTGAGAGGGAAGGAAGGTGGCCAGTATTTAGCTACCTATGGGATTCAAGGCAGAGCAGCCCCCTACTAGGCCTGACCTGTGTTCTCACAGTTCTCTTCATCACTGTTGTCAGAGCAGTCATCCTCTCCATCACAGCGCCATGACAGACGGACACAGCGCCCTGATCTACAACGGAATTGGTCAGCTGTGCACATGGATGTAGCTGGGGAAAAAAGGGAGAAACAACTAGTTGGAGCAACCATAATTTGACCCATCAACCTAACACCCTAAATTCTCCTTTGCTTCATATCACGGGCATAAACCTTATCTGTCTTGCCCCTCGCTACTTACTGCAGTTCTTTTCATCCGACTGGTCATCACAGTCAAAGTCGCCATCACATCTCCAACTTGCATTGATGCACAAGCCACTGTTGCACATGAACTCTCCGGAGCGGCATGGTTGGTGAGATGCTGCAGGGAGGACACAACACATTAATGACAAGCCAATCATGGTCCAATAGAAACTCTAGCATCACAAATCCCCCATGATCATCCTCACGTCCAACTACAAAGAACTTAGGCCTAAACGGGCACTTATGAGAAAATGCTTCAACCTATGTGTCTAAAGTCCCAACTAGACAATGGCCCTGACACCATCCACCATGAAACCAGCCTGGGCTACACCGTGGCTACCCTCCCCTGGGCATTGCACCTTTCCTCTTAGTTAATGCCAGACTCGGCTCCAGTATTGGGATCACCTTCTCCAGATCTAGCCAGTGCTCTCCACCCCATCTGGGCTTGTAAAACAGTTGCTTGGACCCAGTAGCTTACTCCACTGCTGCTGACTTACAGCAGTCAGATTCATCTGACCAGTCCCCACAGTCATCGTCCCCATCACAGTGGTAGATATCCAGGATGCAGCGCCCATATGCACACTGGAACTCCTCCAAGCTGCAGGTTGCAGCTGGAACGTCTGATGCTAATAAGAGAACCAAAAAGAAAAGGCAGCTAATGACAGAGAAACAAGCCAGTCTATGATTATGCTGGTAGAATAAGGGGGCCCACAAAGCAGGTGGTGCAGAACGTATAATGTATGTCGACAAGCAGTTGCCTCCTTCCAACCAGGCATCGGTATGGCCACAGCACTAACATTATCTGTGTTTCACTGGAAAGCAACTGACAGCTGTATGCAATAGCAGTAATGCCAACTGTTGTGAAAACATTGTGAGACTCAGGATTTCTAAGTCAAAATAACTCATTATCTCCTGATCGAACCCTCAAATATCTGGATTTTCTCAGCTGGTAAGTCTGAGGGGAAGTCTTTGGATGGGAAGGGACGAGGGGGTAGATCAAGGTCCCTACAGTGAAGGACGGAGTAGGGAGGAACAGAGGATGGGGTAAACGGGGCACCGGGGCTGGTTGTCCAGAGGCGCAGGGGAGGACCACCCCCAGGGGAGGCATGTGCCCCATGAGGGGCAGAGGTGGGCTGCCCATTGCAGGCTGGGGCTCTGCACCTTCCTGCCTTTGCCCCAGGAGCTCAGCCACGCAACGCCAGTGTGCTTCCTGTTGCTGGGCGGGCAGGGGACGTACTGCGCAGCCAGCATGTCCCATGTTCCCTGCCTACCTGGTGGGTAGCAATGGCGTTCCACGGCTGAGCTCCTGGGGCAAAGGCAGCAGGACAAAGAGCCCCAAGCCTGCAGTGGGCAGCCTGCCTCTGCCCCGCAGGAGGCACATGCCCCCCCATGCCTCTCCCAAGGGTGCGTGCAGCTGTAGGGAGCTGCACCCCCCCACGCCTCTGGACAACCTGTCCCAGTCCTAGGGCCCCATTCACCTGCCCCAGCCCTAGGGCCCCTACCCCACTACCTCCTTCACCGTGGGGGCCTCCATCTTCCCACCTCCTCCTCCTCCTCCCCCGCCCCTTCCCCTCCACTTACCAGCTAGGTGCTGTCTGTCTCTGTGTGTCTGCCCCTGACTCCCAAGCCACAGCATCCCCAGCCCTGCTGCTGCCCTTCACTACTGTCCGACAGTACCCTGCATCCTGCCAGGGTGTGTGGGGACCCTCCCTTCCTGGGCTCCAAACCCCACACACACACCCACAGTCCCCCACACCTTCACAAATAATCCCCCTACACACACTTCAGAAATATCATCTTATGATTTACATGCCAATCTCTTGATTTTTTAAGGGTTTGTTTCAATTTTAGCATGGTGGGGTTGGTAATACTGCAACAGTGGCTTCCTAAATCAACCACCTTATTCAGAGCTCTGTACTTCAAAAAAGTTAACCCTACGTTACAGAAAGGAAGTCATAGAGATGGGAAGGGACAGAGAACAAGGCAAGAACAGGACCCCAGGAATGCTGACTCCCCCTTCTGTGCCTGGGACACCAGGTAATACTGGTTTCTGCTGGCATATGTTCTTAGTTGGTTTATGTGCTTATTAAAATAAGATCTTGTAGTTTTTATTAAATAGTTAACCAACTCCCATTTTGCTTTATTAGTTATGGCAGGGTCTAACTAAACTTTACATGACCTTAAGTTAAGTCATCTATTTTAGAAGTGTTTGTAAGAATCTTTTCCTTTCCACTGAACAAAATAATTTGCATATCTTGCACTTTTTACTTTTATTCTTTTCAGAATGCCAGGCAGTTACTAGTAAGAATAACGTGTGCGCCTGGTATTGGGGTATTTCTGGGATACTTCTCCTTCTGAGATTAGCTCCTACACGTGATTATTTTATAAGATTATATGCTATAAACACATTAGCTGTTAAAAGGATTGTGTGAAGTCATATGCTGAGCTTGCTCTATTTGACTTACCATAACAGACCAAGGATTTGTAGAAGTTATTTTGACTTAGAAATCCCGAGTCTCACACCATAACAGATCAAGGATTTGTAACACATACTTCATGTCGCTGATGGATTATAGCCTTTTACAGTCTTCATAAACTCTCCATAAACAGTAGAAGACTCTCCCCAGTATTCACACTCTACTGAAACTAGCGCAGCTAAGATGGGCCGGCCACCTTTCAAGAATGCCCAACACTTGCCTGCTAAGAAAATCTTCTACAGTGAACTGTCAAATTGAGTACATTCTTGCAGCACACCAAAGAAGCAGTACAAGGACACCCTAAAGGTGTCCCTAAAGAGTTTCAGCATCGACCCGGAGTCGTGGGAGCAAATCACTCGCAACCATTTTTCCTGGAGGTCATCAATCCAGAACAGAGCATTGGCCTTCGAACAGCAACACTTGGCAGAAGCAATGAAGAAACGCGTGGCTAGGAAAATGAAAACTCATACCCAGTCCTCATGCTTTCCTGCCCCTGCTGCAGCAGATTGTTCAAGGCAAAGATCAGGCTTATAAATCACCTACATACCCAAGTGACCTCGCCTCCACCCCCTCCTCTCTCTTTCCTCTCTCTCTTTTCTCCTTTTTCCCTTTTTTTCTCCTTTTCTCTCTTCGCCCTCCCTGTTTCTTTTCCACTTCTTTTTTCTCCTTTCCCCACCACACTGGATGCAGTCATCTTTGCCGGTAAAGGATGAATAAATAAAAATTAAAAAACAAACAAACTAGCTGACCTGTGCTTGGTGATCTCCTGAAGTTTTATTAAAATAAAAGCTACTAATAATGCCTCTATTAAAGGCTTGTGTAGTTTATTAAACCTCAGAGGAGATGCAAAACAATGAGCCACCTGAGAAGCAAGGGCTTCCTTACATCCTGGCCCAAGCCTCTGCCTCTTAAAATAAAACCAGCTTTTGGGGTACAGTGAACCTCACCATACTATCATACTCAAAATCCAACAGGAAGGAAAAGAGCACAGCAGCAAGGCACCCAGGTCTGCACTAGGCCTTTGAAGTGTCGCTTTCCTACAGAACGTTGCCAAAACAGACCACTCCTTATCACTAGCAATCCTTGTCAGACAGAGTAACCCTGTACAGGGCACAGGATGCTAAGGGTTTGCCTACTGCCCTGCTCAGAGTCAGCGACATGGATACATTTTTCTGTGCAGCCATGAGAATTTCCTAGATGGCTCAGTACAACAGAGACTGAATTCTTCTCTCCCTCTACCTCCCTTTCCCTGAACCCCTCCTCCTCCCCCTCCCCCACCAGGACGGGAACCCTAAAACACCTTTTGGAGAAGGAAAACATTTAGGCACACAAGGCTTGGACCAAGAAACCCTATCCTAATACTCTGATTATCCATAGAGTTAGCTGAGGCAAGAGAGACAATGGGATAGGGACCTTGGATCTTTCTTGGATTGCTAGAGAAGTCACAATGGGACTGTAGTCTTACTTTTGTATCTATACCATGAGATCATGAAGGTAAGGAGCACTATAACATTCTTAAGAAGGTCAGGACTCCAAAATGACTGAGAACCACTGGCCTAGAGAGATATAAAGTCAAGGGTGGAGTCAGACGGGGAAAAAGGCGGCAGCTGGCAGCCACAGGGAGGCTGACACAATGAGCCCAGATAGGAGACAAACTGCTTCAGAATGAAGTACTGATCTTTAAATGTCTTATAGATTAAGGAAAGGGACAGGTCTACACTTTGGAGTACACTAAGGAAAGTGGGAGCGCCGTTTCTACTCCACCCTATCATGCAGGGTTCAGTTGGAGATCTCCCCTTCCTGCCCCCACCCTTTTCCCCAGGGCCTGTTCATGGCTTGTAGGGAAGGGACAGGCAAGGGAGTGGGAAGGAGGGAGGGAGGTTGGCTTCCTCTCAGAGCCCTTTCCTGGCTCAGAAATCACTGCAGCCCTTGGCTCCCTGCCAACACTCATTATCTGGAGAGATAAAAGACAACTCCCCCACATACACACACCCCCTGCCCTTCAGGAGCTGGAGGCCCTGATCCCCCTCCCAAAGCCTTTTGAAGTTTCCTCCTATCTAGAACAAATTCTGCAAAATGCCCTTGAGAGAAGGGCGGGGGATGGGAGCAACCTCTACAGATACTAACTGCTGCTCAGAGACACAGCAGGGAGGTGCAGAGGGTGGTGGGGAAGGGTGGGGGTGGGGATACTAGGATCCTGCCCAAGTCGCTACAGGCCTGTAGAAGGGGGAAAGCAACTGCAGGATCCCTGACACCCAGCCCAGCCATTTCATAGACTTCAGCTTGTACTGCACAAAGTTCTATATAAAATATCCAAACTAAAGAGCAGGGAGGCAGGTGGCACCGCTGCACCACTGATGGGCAGGCTTCTGGCTCCCAGGCCACGAGAATGCTGCCAGCAGGCAGAGCTCCTCGAAAACTTCCTACAGGAATCAGACAAAAGTGGGGGAGAAATCCTCTCTCCACAAGTACTGTATAGGGCGGCTTTCCCTGGTGCAGCCTTCCTTGCTCAGGCTCAAGGTCACACCAGCCTGGGAGCAGAAGGAAGCAGCAGCCTGGAGCTGTCACAGTATGCCTGTCCAAGCTGACGTTCAGAGGGATGCTGTACTCAGCCTGCACTGTAGGGTTGGCAGTGGGCCCTGCAGCAGAGCTGGAACACAGCTAAGCCACTAACACAGGCAGGGTCAGCTCATTTCCACCATTCATTACAGGACAAAACAAACCCAGTGTTGGTAGCAGGTCCAACATAACAGGGAGCTGACTTACGGCAGCTCTCTTCATCTGAGCCGTCCTTGCAGTCTGTATCTCCATCACAGAACCAATGTTCAGCTATGCAGCTGCCATCGCTACAGCGAAATTCCTTCTCTGAGCACTTTCTCATGTCTGCAGGACATAGACGGAAAGATAATTAGTTAGAGCCCAGGGTCCTTGAAGGCATTAAAAAATGCCAGTATTGCTCACTGCACCCAACTTCCCTCAGAGCACCCAAATACGCCCATGCTACATAGTACTTGGGCAAAACACCAATGCTCATTTTTTTAATCATAGAAGTGAGGATTTTTAGCATGATCTTTTATTAGATCAACTGTACAGTTGGGAGAGATGTTAGACCAGTTTTCAGGCACAAAGTGCAAGATCACTTCACTCCTACTACTACATTTTTAATCAGTAGTGAGGGCTGGATTAAGAAGGAATCCACAGGAATTCAGAACTGTGTATCAAGGAACAACTGGTTCCAGCATGAGTAGAGGAGATTAGACCGTAATTTTGCTTCAAGGGCGAGCCACACAGCCTCAAATGCCACCCAGTAAACCCTGGCAAACATATCCCCACATAACTCCTCCAGACAAGCCACCTGTGTGGCCCTACAAACCATTAGAAAAGCAATGGCACCTAGCAGATAGCTCATCCCTTTGTAAGCATCTGTTGTAGGCAGAATGCTTTATGCATCAGGCACCCACTAAGCATTCCATCAGGCATTCCTTGGTTCATGTCACTCACCACACTGCTCATCACTGTTATCACCACAATCATTGTCACCATCACAGTGCCACAGGCTGCGGATGCAGTACCCATTTTGACATGAGAACTCATCTTCCTCACACTCCCTTGGAGCTGCAGGGACACAATGGAGAGTGAGCTGAAGACAAGACAAAATTTATTTTGTACACCCAAGTCTGCAGCTGAGAACAAAGGGGTATCTTGGAAAAATGTGCCCCCCCACACACACACAGTGGATGTCACCAAAATCTCACCCTTCTTACCTCACCATAGGACAGCAAGTAGTAGGGACCAGAGGGGGTAAAAGCCAGCACAGGATCCCAGCAGAGAATCTTCTCCATTCTAACCCTCACAGAACAGAAACCTACTGTTGGGCCTCCTTCCTTGATATGCAGCCAGGAAGCAGTCATGACAAAAGTTTATTAAAGAGGCCATCTTTAATGGACTGGCCGACGTCAACATCTTAAGGGATAGCCAGCACGGGTTTGTTGCGGGTAGGTCTTGCTTGACCAATCTCATTTCCTTCTATGACCAGGTGACCTATCACCTGGACACGGGAGAAGAGATTGATGTCATATATCTTGACTTCAAAAAAGCCTTCAATCTGGTGTCCCATGATCGCCTCTTGGAGAAACTGGCCAATTGTCGCCTTGGGTCCTCCACAATCCACTGGCTGGAAAATTGGCTCCGGGGTCGGACCCAGAGGGTAGTAATTGATGGAAGTCACTCATCGTGGTGTCCTGTGACCAGTGGGGTCCCCCAAGGGTCTGTCCTTGGACCCATACTGTTCAACATCTTCATTAATGATGTGGACACTGGAGTCAGAAGCGGACTGGCCAAGTTCACCGATGACACCAAACTTTGGGGCAAAGCACCCACACCAGAAGACAGGCAGGTTATCCAGGCTGACCTGGACAGGCTCAGCAAGTGGGCAGAC